TAACATAACTTATGCGTTAACTGTATATGGAGCTTCAGTATCCGATCTTTCTCCTGTGAGTGTTTTTTAGATCGTTGCTATAAGAGGAAATTTACATCAGTGTCCATTAATGTCTTTAATCTTTTAGAAAAACRAGATCGTAACGTTTACAAAAGGATATCTAATATAGAATTTCATCCACTTTTATTAATCATGCCGCGTTTGAAGTCTACTAAATATAATCTAAGAGATAAGAAAAGCAACAAGCCAAGAGTCAATACCAATCGTTATATTGAACTCTTTTATAAATCGCTTAATTTTAAAGAGTTTTTTATCTTGTTTTTTCTCTTTGATTTCTTGTAACTTAAGATATGTGTCTTATCTTTTGAAGAATAAAGATTATTATTATTATTATCATCATCATCATCATTATTATTATTATTATTATTATTATTGTTGTTGTTGTTATTATCATTATTAGTCTGCATGGTCATTGGGAAAGAGGCCGCAGGGTCTAGTCTATGACGTCATAGTTAACGTTTTTTCGGTCACGTTTGAACTTTGACTACTATTTTAGAGTTCGTTTTTTGACATTCTTAATTCATAATCTATTTTAGTAGTTTGGCATACATAATTTATCGGTGATTCACACTTTAGTGTGATTCTACCTAGAAAGTAATCCTGAGATATTTCGTCAGTGTCTTTATATGAAAACATTCACTGGTCATAAACTGGACAAAATCCTATTCCAGGAATCTCTAGAATATTTTCACGATGATATATGTAAGTGACGTATCCAAGCGACACAAACACTTCTAAGCCATTCTTGACGACTGACCTCATATGTAARGTAGGGTTACGAGCGGAAACGTGCCACTAACCCACCCACATATCCCCTGTAAGGAAATCGTGACGCCCATCATTACTAATGTTATAACACCAAAATCTCATACTGTGATTGGTGGAGTAGCATCACGTGGTGCACCCAAGCGATATACTGTATAATTTAWTCATTATACACACATAGATTAACTGACTCTAAAATCCACAAATGGATATTTAGAACAGCTTGGAAATGATTTTTAACCGACACATAATTGTATTAGAGTCTACGAGGAGTATTTTTGTGGCTTTACGATGAAGATAACAGTGATTTTTGATTCAGTTCGTGTAATAGTTCCGTGTGGGAATGGCGAACTGTCTGTCCGGGATTTGACTCAACGCGCAGTTTCTCGATATAAAAAAGCTACTAATAAGGTTAGTTTTACAGCAAATTTGATCTCCTAGAGCCTCAAAAGCTGCAAAATAATCCACTGATATACCTAAGTRTTGAGTTTTGTGGTTTCTGAGAGATATTGGGATTGTGTTTTGAATATTATATATGGCAGATCGCAGTCGAACTAATAAAAATTCTGGAATCCAGCTTTTGTTAGTCGCATTAAAATAATAAATTCCTCCGTTTTCCCAGCTGTTTTTAAAATTTTTCAATTCATAGTTTATGTCCTTASACTTCGAGGATATAAAGAAATCTTTATTTTGATGTTTTAGGGTAATTTTACTGTGAAATCGTTTTTCACTTGTCAACCACAACCAACAACCTTCACCATGTTGGCAACCAAACGTCGCTACGAGAAGCGTTTGTTTGGTTTCTGTTTTATCTTCTATTGTCTTTAATATTCACTATTAAAACCCTCTGTCAAAAGATATGGATTTATCCTAGCCTAGAGTAATAACTAATGTGGGAAACTGTACCATTTAAGGTTTAAAGTGAACTTTTTTCGCGAGTTCAAAGTCAATGTTAACCCTTCTCGTTCGAATTTGTCACGAAGTATTTGTAAAAAACTCAAAACCATCGGACTGGAATAATCTTTAAGAAAATACTTCTACGATTGATGCGAGTATTCCATTTATCCGTATCGAGTTTCCTTGCTTGATAAGCTGTATTTTGAATGACGTTTTATCTTTTACCAACATTTTTTTAATGTAAAAGTTTGAGTTCCAAAATAAACACAAACCATCCCGAAGACCTTTCAAACACTACTCGACCTAAATAACCCTTCCAAAATAATGCTTGTATCAATTCAATTTTATTATGTAGCAGGGGGTATTGTTATGGAATCATGACCCAGTGATTTCTTTTCTTTTTTCCTTTTAATCCAGCACCCCGATGATTATGTTGAAGTACAAGTATTAGAGACATGCGAAGAGCAAGGGATTCTAGATCCTGATGATGTCGTTGCTGATGTATTGGACGATAAGGAAAAGGTACATACAAGATTACAACTGATATCAAAAATTCCTTTGGTAAAAAATACTTAAGTGCGTATGTAATGTAAAAGATGTAGCTAGAAGCACCGGTAAAATTTTTTTTTTGTAGTTTGTTTTATTTACACGCAAGGACGGTTGGTTGATTGCCTTAGACGGTTACCCTCTGAAGTGCTGTAATTGAAGTGACGTTAAAAAGACACAATAGACTCATTTACATATGACAAGCAATTCATATACATATATTAATTACTACATATATCTATGCTCGTCATCCACCTATCTCATGTGTAGTCAACCAACCTAAGATGATCATTTGCGTAAGTTTAAAAAATTATGTTTTGTGATCAATGTTGCGATATTGCCCTTCTTGTTCTTCACTTGATGTATATTTTTCTGACCATCTTTAAATCTATTACTACTCTAACAATAGATCTTACTGCTTGATGCATTCCTTTGCTCATTTGAAGGATTGATATAAACAAAAACATCTATTTATCTCTTACTTTTCACAGCTATATATATAATAATTCCTATAATCTCTAGTAATTTCAAATATATAATGCTTATTTTAGTTGTATGTTACTAGTATACACAATATTACCAAGGGTTTTCAAGCCAAATTTGTTGTGTTCTTGAAAGCTCTGATGCATGAACAAACTACTCTTAACCAATATATTCATTTACGTTTTGGTTTGGTTTAGTTTCTTCTGGTACTTTATAGATTATTCCTCAAATATATACTCCTATTAAAAGAATATATCAGATTATAATTCTTATATTTCTGGTACTTTAGTTTAACTTACCCTCTGAAATGTTATCAAAGGGTGTCTTTCCTATACTGATCCTACAGTACAATTCTTGATCGAATAATACCTTAAAGATTTGTTGTTTTGACGTTGAAACAAGTTAAAACCCAGACTGTGGTCATAAAAATGCTGGCAGTAAAATTTTTGATTAGCAAAATTGAAGTAAGTATTTTAGATCACCATATAATTATAGTGAATACCGTATATAATTTCCAAAGAGTGTAGCTGCTTTAGTTTTAAATGCAGTTCGTCTGTATGTGCTTTTGTAGGCCTGTGCACATTGATATTACCCTATTACTTTTCAATCAATTCTACAATACATTGTATTTTTTGTTGATCATTTTCAAAACTGCAAATTATAATATCCAATGCTAGTGCTATAATGTAGACGATTCGGGGATTTAAATGATAGAATCATAAGTTAAGTGTTGTTTTTGACTTTGGTGTCTTAAAATGAATCAAAGTCTTAACAAACCAATTCAATCACCTCTTGTCTTTATTTTTGGAACAATTATTGAATACAAGCTTGTTAATAGTAAAAACTATTTTAGATTATTTGAACTTTAATCAGGTTATGCCCATGGTCATTAGGTATTTGAAAAAATAAGAATTATTGCAAATGTGCATTTTTATTGTTATTTAATATTATTATTTATGTTATGTTCTAGATATCATTTGTGTTTTAACCACAATTGCATGCAGTCGTACTTGTTTGTTCTTTTGATATCCGATATTTGATTGGTTTATCCACCACACACTCTCATATACTTGTTTAAGAGAATACATTTCACCTACTGGCTTTGTTGGTTAGTTGAACTACAGTGTTGTCGCTTGAATTAGCATTCAAGGTCAACAGATAAGGCCGGCTAGACAAAAAGTACATATACACGTATTTCCAAAAACAAGTATAAGAGTGCGTAGTGGATAAACCAATAAAATATTAAAGATTGAAATAACAAACAAATACAGCTGTAAATAAGTCCACATTTGCAAAAATCATAGGATTAGGTAAAATGCTAAAATTGCAAGCAGTAGGTACACACTGGCTAGGAAAAAATTAAATGTATTTCTAAAAATGAATATAAGAGTGCGTAGTTGGCAAATCAATCCAATATTGAAGATGGAAAAGACAAATAAGTATGACTTATGACTGTAAGTCCACATTAATGCGAAAATCATAGAATTAGGCAAGATGCTAAATTGTAAGCAGCAAGTATAACACTTTAGATTGCAAGAATGTTGAAATATAAAAATAACAAATAGGAATTAATTATCTTTTAATCAAAACAGGTGTAATTATTCCACTGTTTGAAACTAGACTGACATTTTTGATATTACCTTTATTATTACCTTTAAATTACCTTTAATAATAACAACAATCTTTAACATATTCAGGTCTGGGATAATGCTAATAATTGGAAGTGAAACTCTGCTCCGACTTAGCATGTTTAGCACAATAAACAGAGTATGATAAAGTACTTAATCATATTAAAGTTTGCACTGTGCAATGCATTATAGGCTTATGTAATCTACCTGTTCTTTAGAGTCATATCATGATGCGATGTGACAATGATTATTTTTGGTTTGTCTAGATACTGTCTTAAAAATATTGTTAGATAACTTGACAAAACACAAGGTAATAGATAAATTATAAGTACTATTATTAAAAGAATTAAAAAATTAATCTTTAAACCATATGTTTTGCATATCATAATTTAATTTATGCATTATCTTGACATCAAAGTTAAGACATTTCCTTGACAAAACGCAGCTTTTTTCAAGATATATATATATATATATATATATACATACTAACTACAAGTGATAATGCAAAACAGATGCTTCACCCTTTGTAAACTTTTATGTCATTTTTGAATTCTAAGGCCACCCATTTTTAATTTTTGAATTTTGTTATAGCTATTTTTAACTAGTTAAATAGTTTTTTTATTTAGTTAAACATTTTGATCGTAATGACTGCATGCTTTAAATCTTTTGTTATGGTGTAAGTGTTGTGTTAAGAGATCTGGATGTAGGTGATCATATGAAGCCTTTACAGTGCACAGCAATACTGCCTGGGGTTAAGTTATAAAATTAATGCAGATTAAGGAAAACAAACTTGTTTATTTATAGGCATAATAAATAGTCTCAATATAATATAGGCCTGATCTCTTTACATTGCAATTATGCATCGAATCAAAATTTGACTAGCCTGATGTTCCTGTGGAAAAAGCATTTCCATGGCCGGTAAGACAGCCAGCTAGTCAGTTGCCATATTTTGATTCAATGTATAGTACATGATAATAATCAATATCAGGAATAATGAATAAAATGATGTACTCAAGCAGCAGGTGCTTTGATGTACATGTAAAATTTTCAATCTATGTTTACAAAATATTAGCTAAAATTCCTATATACAGGTTGTAGAACAGGTTTAACAGGTTTTATTTTCCACTAAAAAAACTTACAACTTACAGAGAATATAAATTTATAAATAATTATTTAGATGGATTGTGGCGGGTCCAAGGGAAAAACCTTAAAGGATAAACAAGCTCTTGCACATAYAACTATATAAGATATACACTACATATGTAAAATATAAATATACAGTGTACACTATAACATTGGTATGTTTAAAAATTCCTATATTATACACCCGGGGGGGGGGGGGTACTCCCATATATGGACTATACGGGGATGATCCGCTATAAACAGGGTATGGTTTTTCGAGCTTCTTGTCATAAACAGGGTATGCAATTTCACTCAAGTTCCAAGTTCTTCCTGAGTTTCCTGTCATATTCTACTTTCGTATTGACCGAAACTGGTTATTATGGTCGTAAAAAAAGGATACGCGAGATGACATGATAATTGAAAGGGAACTCAGTGCAATTAATTATATCTTTTGTCATGAACAGGGTCTACAAATTTGGGGTTTTTTGTCATAAACAGGGTACCCCTTTCAGAATCCCAGCGGAACACCCCTACCCAAATTTTGGCGGAGTACCCCCCCAGGATTATACAGCTAGTAGAACTACACCTGAATGGGTTTACTTTCATGACATATTGATGCTGATGATGATGATGATGGATATCTTTGATAGTTTTTTGAAACATTGAAAAACATTTTCCATCCTAAATGTAGTAGTTTTCTTAGACTTTAAGTTCGGATGTGTAATATTCCCACTGGTAGTAAATGACCTTCAAAAACCTCAAGCAAATTATATGTTATATTCTTAAACTCACATATTTTCTTCCCTTGGATCATTAGGTCATAGCAGTATTTCAAGAACAGTCCTTAAATCGTCCATATCATAATGGTGGCGATGGAATGAGTACGTCATCTATTGGCACCGCAAGCCCAGATATATTCCAAGCAGAAATCTCAAGTATAAATAATGACTCCAAAATGAGAAGTATATCACCAGAAAAAGATGAAAACCAAAACATTACCTCAAAATTAATTGTCGTTTCATCAGCACAGATTAGAGAAAAACCACAGCCGCCTCCAGTGGCACCAAAACCAAATATTTCAAGAACAAAAGAGCCTTCTGTTCCGACAGTTGATAGTGATTCGGGGATATATGTAACTTCATCAAGAACTTGTTTTGGCTCTGACTCATCCAAATCTGAAGTTAGCGAACCTATTTCTACTCCACGGGTTATGAGAATGAGTGAGACTGCATTCGTTGCTATTGGTACGCCTATTATTGCACCAAATAAACCATTCAATTTCAATGTTAGTAATAATAATAATACAAGAAATACATCAACGAGTGATTTTGAACAAATGGATGACGATGAAGAAGATGGTCAATTCTCACTGGGTAGAAACTCGGCTCGGCAAAGTATGTTTATCGACCATCCTGCATTAGATCGATGGGCTGAATTTCAGGAGAAAAGGATGTACGAAGAAAGAGAAAATTCACAGGGGTTTGTTTCGGCTGATGAAAGAGAAGAACCTGCTGGAGCGTCAATGTCACCTACGGATGATATAACTTTTGATAACAACATGTTTTCTAATGAATGCCTTGATAAACAAGATGGTGTCTCAAATAATTCTTTCTATAGTGGGTGAGTGAAAATGATTGTTACCTACAGGTAAATGTATTGTGGACCTTCAAAGTGAACTGCCTTCCTTGATCATGTTAGGTGGGGCTTCTTACTTCCTATAGGTACAAACTCATTGGTAAACTGACAAAGACCAAACCAAAAACAGCATACAGTCATTTAAAATTGGGAGGGCTGAGTGGTCAAAATAACAGTTTTACTCTTAAACCCCTTCCTTCCCAAGGACATTACGATACGTTACGATAAAATCTACGTATTTAAAGAGGGTGACGGAATTACCCAGTGAGTTATCTAACTTACATATTATAATATATATCAATAATTTTTTGCCACCTACCCTTGAAGTATGTCTTTGTTATTCATACTGTAATCTCTATAATCTCTGGTCCTTGGAGATTGCAATATGCCCATTGAGAGTGAACTTGTGTTTAAAAAGATATACCTGCACTACTGCATGTATTCGGTTGCATATTTACCTTTGATCTTCTTGTTGTTGTTGTTTATTAATTTGACTAAGCTACACTGTAATATGGGATCTTACGTGAAAGATCCAAAATGGCTGCCAGTAAAGGTTGGGAAAACAGCAAGTCACAATGCTAATCATTGCATCATTTGCTTGGTAATTCCACAGAGATTCTGATGAATCCCTGGCTATTGAGCTCCATCCTCAAACATCTGGTGATCTTGGGTTTACTGTAGCAGGCTATAAAACAGCTGATGGAAGGTGAGTCAAGAACTTCAATGTAAGTCCACATGGGAGGGCTCAAAATAACAGCTTAACACCAGACAGTGTCTGCCTAGAATACTCCTTTTTACAGTTTCATTTGCAGTGACCACGAATAATAGTTCCTAGCCGAGGCTGGAATTTCTCCACATAATAAACTGTAGTTTTGCTATGCGCAGAAACTTCAGCCTCGGCTAGGAACTATTATTCATGGTGATTGAATGGAACTGTAAAAAGGAGTATTGGCAATGGTCGGGTCAAATCTTGGCCTTGCTGGTCATTTTGACCAGTATCGTTAAGCTAGAAATGAGGTATGACCAAGGTAAACTAATATGGCCGGTCGTTATGACCACCAACTTACTGGCCGTTATTTCAAGCCCTGTACAGGCGAAATATCTTGCCCAAGTCAACATGGCTGCCATGTTATAAAGGTCAATATTATCCCTAAAATACATACAAGAATACATTGTGTGAACCCTCATAATTTATCTGATTTAAAGTGGGTTTTTTTACTGATTCTAATCAATGTATTTTGTAGAGAACTTGGGTTAATCGTTCGGAACATTTCTCCAGATGGTTGTGCAGCAAGAGATGGCAAATTACAGGTATGTCTACAATCACAATCTTTACACTGGTAAAGACTATTGGTTACTAGTTAGGATCCCATTGCTGTGTTGAATACAAGTGAATACGAAAAACTGTGCAAAAAATGTTTTGGGACTAAAATGACATTTCGTACTAATTTATACTATTTATAAAGTTATAAAGTCATGCTGTTGAAAAACCCAAATTCCTTTTTTTTAATTGTATATATTTTTTTTAATAGATTGCTGACAGAATTGTTGAGATTAATGGTAGTAATTTACAAAATCTGTCCAATAAAAGGTAAAAATGTCATATCAATATCTGTTTGCTTTCTCATATGCAATCGAATTCTATAGTCATACTGTATGTTACTCAGTAGAAGCGTAATGGGAAATCAAGGGAAAACCCCTTTATTTAAGAGGCTTTCCCCAGGTTCTTCACTTTGTCTCCCTGTTAATCACACTCAAAATTTCAATACGCAGGGGTGGGGGGTTATAACTTATTTTAAAGACAAACTATATATTCGCAAATACATGCCATAGAGTAAAGAATGCATAACTTCAACAACGGACACAACATTTTGGAATTCCGAAGATCTTGACTGGAACCCATGAATACACTGTATTCTACACAAAATAGAGGGTAACCCTGTCAAATGAATGTGTATAGTCAAGGAACACAGTGGTATTTTACAAATTCAAAAGAAGTTATATTCCATCTGTGATTAAGCCATGTCATGACTTTGATCAACCCATAGGCTGTTTCTCAGTGTTTGATAAAATCAATTTGTGAAGTGGTAAATTGAATCATTTTCATATATTTTATTTATTTATTTTCCAGGGCAGAAGAAATATTTTCTGAGTCAATCAAGGTGCCAGTAGTAAAACTTGTTGTATCAGGCTCATCTACCTTTGTACATGAAGAGAGAATAAGCAAAGACGATACTGAAGAAGATAAGAATACAGTACAGGAAGTAACAGTTGCAGAACAAGTGCTAGAACAAGAGACTCTGCCAGCACAGTATTCAGTTAGTCCTGAACCAAATAGTGGGATTGAGCCACCGCCAGGATTCAGAGATGATAGGAAGGGTAAGACTTATTTACCCCTTACTGTACCATTATCAGCCCCCAACCCCCTCAACCATGACTGTAATGAATGGGATTGAGTCAGAGATAGTGTGAAGGGTAATACTTGCTTTCTTTACCTTTTTGCTGGCAACAAGATTGATTCTATTTGGTTTAGCTAATGGGCAGGGCTGAAAATAATGGCCAATCTGTCACCAGCCACAATCACTGTCCAAATAAACTTAGTCATACCTCATTTCTGGCTAAACATTAAACTGGTCAAAATAACTGGTAAGGCAAAGATTTAACTGGACAAGTCCCAGTTCTGATAACTGGCAATTACAGTAAGCTCTGATGGGTTTACTGCGATCTAGGTCCTGAAAGACTATTCTTTGCTACCATAGATTTTTATTAATTTTGTTCCAATTTTTCATTCTTCAGCCCAAATGAATGGACCCCAGTTATCTTCAAATGTMAAAAAAGTCAACAAGAAAATATTGCTAGAGCTAAACAAGGGTAAGTCCTTTTAAAGCCCCTCCTGGCACCAATATGGCCTTGGCTTGATTCCTGGACATGGTCTCATACAGTGTATAGTCTCCCTCTACAAAAATCAACTCATAAATTCCAATTCGATCGACCCTTGATATGTTACATAGCAAACTAAGGTCATGATGTATGTGTTTGTTCAGGTTCAGATGGTCTAGGGTTCAGTATCACTACACGTGACAACCCAGCAGGAGGTCATACACCTATCTTTGTTACATACTCTACCGAACTGAGGTCATGATATATGTGTTTGGGTTTGTTTAGGTTCAGATGGTCTAGGGTTCAGTATCACTACACGTGACAACCCAGCAGGAGGTCATACACCTATCTTTGTCAAGAGTATCTTGGCCAAGGGAGCTGCAATAGAAGATGGTCAATTAAAGAGTGGTGACCAGATACTCGAGGTAATATACCCCCCACAACACTCTTGACGTATAAATAAAACGCAGAAAAGATAAAAAAGAAACTAAAAATGTATATGTTGGTTTAGTAGTTAGTTTAGCCAATCTGAGTAGGCATTATATAAAAACCAATCAGAGTAGGCGTCATATAAGAACCAATCAGAGAAGGTGTCATATAAGAACCAATCAGAGCAGGTGTATATAAGAACCAATCATAGTAAATGTTATACAAGAATCAATCATATCATTGTAGGTGAATGGAACCAAGATGACTGGTAAGAGTCAAGGAGAAGCGGTCAACATTCTCAGAAGTACGAGAGGACTTGTGAAACTGTTGATACAACGAGAAGAATTGATTCAGTCAGCAACCAAACCAGCTATTCAGGTACGCTTAGATAACATATATACTGGGGACGCCCAGCTAACATGTCTGAGCAATGTTTGTTTGTTATCAGGTGAATCCTACTGGCTGCAAACAGTTTCTGCTAATACATATGCATTAAAGAAGATTTTATTTCACGGCACGGCACTTACGGCATCCAGTCACGCGATCACAGCAGGCCAGGTCACTGCTCGTCCAATGAAAATGTCCAGACACACATTCACGGCACGGCATGTTCATATTGTGAGAGTCTTGCTATCGTACCAGATTCCTTACTTGGACTACTATTTATTCCAGGTTAATGAAGAGAGTACTCGAAATCTTCGAGAGCAAGGAAAACAGGTCTTGACATTCAAGATTCCCTTGAACTATACTGGAGCAGCAGGGCTTGGTGTTAGTGTGAAAGGAAAAGTAGATGAATTGGAAGATGGAAGGGATTCTCCACAAGATAAAGGGATTTTTGTCAAGTCTGTTATTGCTGGAGGAGCTGCTCAAAAGGTAAATACAGAGTTGACCTTGATTCCCCAAATTAATGGATGGGGAAAATGGATGGGAAAAACGGGAAGCCAAAGCCATTCAGGGTACAAAGTTTGCCTACAAGTGTTAGCATTTCCTTTTAAATATATTTTCAGCAATTCTATTTATTATGAAGCTTCCTTTAAATAAGTTATTTGGGAAACCATTTGAGTGTCTACAGACCGCAGTACTGTTAGTCTGTCTTCTAAATATCCCATTCCTGGATTGTCAGATATAAGAATGAGAAGCCATTTGTGTGCCCACTAGTCTGCGTAGTACAAGTTCGTTTCTGTACTAAATTCCCGAATCATAGATCGTTTATTGTATTGTAAGAGTAGGAAGCCATTTGAGTGCCCAGAACCGGAATCCATTTTAGTGTCCACATACTGCCGTACTACACGTCTTTGGTGTACTAAATGCATATCTCATATTCGGGTTGTCTACGATAAGAACAGAAAGCTATTTCATTGCTCACATACTCTCTTGTCGCAGCTCTTCGTTAAATTACCCATTCTTACTTCGCTTTAAGTAACGCATTTATTAACTAGCTTACTAAATCTTTTTAGGACGGCAGACTTCAAGCAGATGATCAACTGCTTAGTGTCAATAATGTATCATTCCTCGGAGTACCCAATTCAGAAGCCATTGATAGACTAAGAACATCTATGCAGTCTACTCGACTTGGACAAGCATTCATTGAGGTTACTATTGCACGGGATAAAGATGATGATGGTAAAGACATGGTGGACTTTCATCAGCCAGAACAGGAGAGACCTATTGAGGCAGGATCCCCATCTCCTGTAGTGACAAAGAGTGTTCCTGTTGTACAACAGAATATATCCTATCAAAATGTACCTCAGGTCCCGAGAACTAGTCTGGATCAAGGATCTTTAGATGGTAAGGATGTGGTTTACTGCTGGTTTTTCAATCAACTGATAAAGTCTTTAGTTCTCAATATCTGCTCCAAATGGTGGTCAAACATTGTCTGCTGCATATAAGATAATCAACTTAATCAACTTTTAAATTGCCCTATTTCACTATGACGTCACATCAAAACAATCTATTGTTTAAACGCAAAGGATCATG